TAAAGACTCCCTGTCTCTTGAAGAGTGCTACTACATGATAAATCTCAGAATATACCTGTCTGTAGTGACAGTATGTGTACAGATGTTTATTTTAAAATCACATAGTTATTGATAATCATGTGAAAGTTTCCTGCTCTTCAGTATAAGTAAGTGGTGGTAGTTTAAAGGAATAATTGCTTAGTTAACAAAACCCAGTGACAGTCGCTCTCAGCCTGCTGGCACTTAGATTGTGGTGTAGGGTGAGGTTGAGAGTGTCAAGTTTGTTGAAAGGGCAGTGGTCTGACAGCGTTTTCATCATGGGGGGAGTAAAAACACAGCTCAAACACTACTGCCCCCCCAACAGCAAGTATAAAGAAGACCTGAGATTGCTTAACAGCTATCAAAAGTCTGGGATTAGAGGCTACATGAATATACTTACACTTCCATTTAAAATGCAGATGGGGACCCTGGTGTTTCCTAGACTGTTATGGCGAAAACCTTTCTTCATTTACTGTTATGTACACTCTTTATCCAAAGTGGCAACAAGCTTTCTTTGTTCTTTATGAAATACTTTATATTGTAAGGCGCTGAGCAAACTGTTGGCGCTATATAAATCCTGAATAATAATAATAATAATAAATAATAATAAAAATACTTCATCTTGAATGCTTAGTAACCCTCCAATAAAAATTAGTGAAACAGAAAATCACAACTTATGTATTACAGATAAAGATTTTCACACCAACAAAATTAATTTCTGTATGCTTGGAGTGGAATTGGTCCTCCACTGGGTTTTTGATTCTAGAGGCAGAGTGGGATCACTTGTATGCTGTACAGCCCAGACTTTTCAGCCAAGTTAATTCCATTGCCAATCCAAGTTCAGTTCTTGCATGTAAAGAATCATGTACTTCTTATACTAAATTTTATACGGAGATTTTAATAAAGCATCTCATTGAATGCTGGAGCTCAGGGAGGAGAAACAGCAGCACACTGATCTTCCCAGTGAATGGTTTTGAAGGGGGATAAGTTTGGTTACTGGACGCAAGCACACTGAGTTCCAGCACAGCCAGCAAACTGACCATGCTGTGCTCTCATGCCTAATGTGGACAGTTTTAATGGGAAAACAGGGTGACTGGCAGGAACATCAAGGATTTCACACAACAGAAGCAATACAACAAGAACAGTATGCTTTTTCAAACAAGTACATGGTGCAGCAGGCACAGATTAGTGATGAGAAATGTTGCGTTTGCATATTCTTTAAACACATATAAAAACACAAGCAGGAGTTCCTGGACCCTGCTGAGTGGGCACTTATGCAGGCCATAGACGGGTCGAAAATCGGCCGATTTTTCGGCCGAAAATAAAATCGGCCGATTTTCGGATCGTTAGTGGGCGATTTGGTCGGCCGTTTTTCGGTATTTTGGCCGTTTTTGTTTTTCGGTAAAGTTGGAAAAAAATCGGCCGATTTTGCCGATCGGCCGATTTTCGCGGCAATTAGTGGGCAAATCGGCCGATTTTTTACCGATAAAAAAATCTGCGCATGAGCAGTGACCTGCAAGAGGAAGACAAAAAGAAGAAAAAGAAGAAGAGGAAGAGGATGAAGAAGAGGATGAAGAAGAAGAAGAAGAAGAAGAAGAAGAGGAAGAGGATGAAGAAGAAGAAGAAGAAGGGATGAGGATGAAGAAGAGGATGAAGAAGAAGATGAGGATGAAGAAGAAGAGAAGAGGATGAGGATGATGAAGAAGAGGATGAGGATGATGAAGAAGAAGAGGATGAGGATGAGAATGAGGAAGAAGAAGAGGATGATGATGAAGAAGAGAGAAGAAGAAGAAGAGGATGAGGATGAGGATGAAGAAGAAGAAGAAGAAGAGGATGAGGATGAAAGAAGAAGAAGGAGGATGGGAGGAGGAGAGGATGAGGATGGGGATGAAGAAAAGATGAGGATGAAGAAGAAGAAGAAGAGGATGAGGATGAAGAAGAAGAGGTGAGGATGAAGAAGAAGAAGAAGAAGAAGAAGAAGAAGAAGAGGATGAGGATGAGGATGAAGAAGAAGAAGAAGTAGGATGAAAATAAGAAGAATTCCAATCCAGCAAAAAGTGTCTCTGCAGAGAGCTCCGCTATTTCTGACAGTTCTCTGACAGAAACTTGACATTTACAGCGGTTGAAACATTGTATCTATTTGTTTCCGAATAAAAACATCTGTATCCTAAATGGAAACAAATAGATACATTGTTGCAACTTCTATAAATGAAAGGAACTGTCAAAGAAATAGCAGAGCTCTCTGCAGGGACACTTTTTGCCGGCTCTAGACGGGTAGAAAATCGGCCGATTTTTTTTACCATTGATGGTAACGTCGGCCACTTGAACAACCGATTTTTCGTTTTTTAAAAGAAAAATCTGCAGTTTTTCTCCCCATCTATGGCCTGCATAATGCAGGCCATAGATGGGGATGCAGATTTTTCTTTTAAAAAACGAAAAATCGGTTTGTTCAAGTGGCCGACGTTACCATCAATGGTAAAAAAAATCGGCCGATTTTCTACCCGTCTAGAGCCGGCAAAAAGTGTCCCTGCAGAGAGCTCTGCTATTTCTTTGACAGTTCCTTGACATTTATAGAAGTTGCAACAATGTATCTATTTGTTTCCATTTAGGATTGAGATGTTTTTTTATTCGGAAACAAATAGATACAATGTTTCAACCGCTGTAAATGTCAAGTTTCTGTCAGAGAACTGTCAGAAATAGCGGAGCTCTCTGCAGAGACACTTTTTGCTGGATTGGAATTCTTCTTATTTTCATCCTACTTCTTCTTCTTCTTCTTCATCCTCATCCTCATCCTCTTCTTCTTCTTCTTCATCCTCATCCTCTTCTTCTTCATCCTCATCCTCTTCTTCTTCTTCATCCTCATCCTTTTCTTCATCCCCATCCTCTTCTTCTTCATACTCATCCTCTTCTTCTTCTTCATCCTCATCCTCTTCTTCTTCATCCTCATCCTCCTCCTCCTCCTCCTCCTTCTTCTTCTTCTTCTTCCTCATCCTCATCCTCTTCTTCTTCTTCTTCTTCTTCCTCATCCTCATCCTCTTCTTCTTCTTCATCCTCTTCTTCATCATCATCCTCTTCTTCTTCCTCATTCTCATCCTCATCCTCTTCTTCTTCATCATCCTCATCCTCTTCTTCATCATCCTCATCCTCTTCTTCCTCTTCTTCTTCATCCTCATCTTCTTCTTCTTCATCCTCTTCTTCATCCTCATCCTCTTCTTCTTCTTCTTCTTCATCCTCATCCTCTTCTTCTTCTTCTTCTTCTTCTTCTTCTTCTTCTTCTTCATCCTCTTCTTCATCTCTTCCTCTTCTTCTTTTTCTTCTTTTTGTCTTCCTCTTGCAGGTCACTGCTCATGCGCAGATTTTTATCGGGCCGATTTGCCCACTAATTGCCGCGAAAATCGGCCGATCGGCAAAATCGGCCGATTTTTTTTCCAACTTTACCGAAAAACAAAAACGGCCAAAATACCGAAAAACGGCCGACCAAATCGCCCACTAACGATCCGAAAATCGGCCGATTTTATTTTCGGCCGAAAAAATCGGCCGATTTTCGACCCGTCTATGGCCTGCATTAGTGTTGGTCAACACTGCAAAATGGGGACTGTTCTTGAGCTGTTCTTCAGAACCCAAATACTAGGTTCCCACAGAACAGGCTCTGGGAGACTTAACAACTATTCCCAGAGAAGCAGCAACCAGAACTGGAAATAATGAACTGTTTGCAGACAGCACCCCACTGTGCAACATGACTACAGTACAGACAGGATGATTTTTTTTCTTGTAATTCAGGCAAACCCTACAATTAAAATCGCATCATATCACTTTCTTGGCTAAACTTTCAGTAATCTTCCTTCCAGGCCTCATTTAATGTTTTTCTTGGTGCCGGTTCATAAAAGTAATCTTTTGAAATACCTTAATATAATTTGACTTTTTGTCGTACTAATGAAATTATGTTTCTAATCAGTTTATATTTTTAGCAAACTTTTAATCATAGCTCGGTCATTATGTTTTTCAAATCAGTGTTTGGTATCCCTATGGATAAACATTTTACTTTATAACTTTAGAGCTCCATAAGGAAGATGTCTGCTATAGTCTAATGTTCTGCCAGAGATTGTGTTCCCTGTCAGAGGGTTAATCCCAAAGCTGTTTTACATTATTATGTTCCATAGACCCTAGTTTATTTGAGTGTTTTCCATTGCATAAACAAGTAAAGAATTGTTTTTCCTTCCAAAAACCTCAACTGTTGTCACTGGGATATGGATAGCTTTGGTACTAATTGATAGATCTAATTTAGGACGTATGCGTTAACTAAATTCTACATGCTGGAAAAGAAATTGGGAATCTGAAGCAGTTTTTTTATTAGTAGGGATCACAATGTGGTAAACCCAACCTTTTTGGTTCATACTTTTTTGTTAGATACTTTCATCTATAAAAATATATGTACATTTTCTTCTCTGTAAGTTCCAGACAAGCAACAGTACTTGCATTTAATGTGAAGTGTCCTTTGTGCTGGTGCTGGCTGTCTTAGCTGAAATCCGAAGTCCTCTGCCCCCCCCCCCCCCATACCCTTGCAGCCCTAATCTTCTGGTGCTGTGGGGGTTAATACAAGTGCTCATGGCCCGATCTAGGGGGGTGCTGCGGTGGGCTATGGCCCCCAAGATTTTTGTTGTGCCCCACAAAGCCAACCGCCGACCCTCCACCCTGTCACTGCCTGCCCACTGAACCATATTGCAGACAGCTGCTCCCTCCTTTCAGCTTTGTAAATGTACTGCCCAGCTAAACTGATTATCTGGTCAGAAGGGGGCCCAGTGAGTGGGGAAGGCTGCCCGTACCACTCCCCTGTCTTTTCCCTGAAGAAGGAGCTCTGCTGCCAGTGCCCAGGCTGTGTGCCATGCAGGGATGGGAGAAGTAGCTTTGCTGAGTGCCCTGCCAACAGTGACCCCTGTTGTCTTCCTGCCAGCAGTGACCCCTGTCCTCTGCTCTGCCAGCAGTGACCCCTGTCTTACCATCAGTGACCCCTGTCCTGCCATCAGTGACCCCTGTCCTCTGCCCTTCTCTCAGTGACCCCTGCCCTCTGCCCTGCCAGTAGTGACCCCTGTATTCTGCCATGCCAGCAGTGACCCCTGTCCTCTGCCCTGCCAGCAGTGACCCCTGTCCTCAGCTCTATTGTCTCCTTTACACTGCCCTACAAACTAATGGCCTCTGTACACTGCCCTACATAATGCTAACCATATCATTTGCCCTGCTGACCCCTTGTAAACTGCCCTGCTGATCTCCCATCCTCTGCCCCCCCCCCCACAATTTTTTTTCTGCACCCCCACATTGAACATGCTAGATCCGGCCCTGCAGGTGCTAGACCTGTCACAGACACTAGTCACAAGTGCTGACTATGCCCACCTTGTCCACCCCTTCTCTATTCATAAAAGCTGTACAATAGCTTCCATAAATGAAAAGTGATCTATGAATAGAGGTCAGGCATCCTTCTGTCCTCCATTCATAGATCTCCTTTCATTCATGAAAGGTCCACCTCCTTCATCTCATGCTTCCTCTTTGCAAGGCCACAACTCTGCAGGAGCAAAGCCCCTTTGTTTTTTTAATACTTTTGCTGTTTTTCCTGAAGAAGGAATAGTAGTCTATTCCTAAACATATTGAAAAGACTATTTAGTTATTTTTAAGACACATCGCCTGCAACCCTGTATATTGTTGGGTCCGTTCATGAGACTCAGTCCTCATGTCCTTTGTTTGCCAGATACACCTGGAAACCTGTTATTGGAGCCTGTGGTCAGCAGCCCGATTGTGGCTGCTCTTTGACACGATCTAAGGTAAGCAGATTCATATACTTTCATATACTAAGGTGAGAAGATTCCTATAATTTTATACATTGTGTACTATTGGAGAGTTAGGCTGCATTCACACAAATTGTAGCTTGAAGCTTGAAGCTCCAAAAATGCTCAAAGTCAACAGATCAATTGTTCTCTATGGTGCATGTTCACACCTGATCATCCAAACAGGCACCATAGAGATCAATTGATTTTTAAGTTATTATTATTATTATTTTTCAAGATTTATATAGCGCCAACAGTTTGCTCAGCTCTTCACAATATAAAGGAAGACAATACAGCAATAATACAGTTCAATACAAGAGGGTTAGGAGGTCCTTGCTCCTTGGAGCTTACAATCTAAGAGGGAGGGGCTAGTGGAACAAAAGGTAATAACTGTGGGGGATGGACTGGTAGGAGGAATAGATGATTCCATTATTAGCTGAGGGCAGGAGCATATTTGGAGCTTCAAGCTTTGACCTTCAAGCTACAAATTGCTCAAGTGTGAATGCAGCCTTACTCTTAGAAATGCTCCCCCCTCTATGTGTTTTATAGTATTTACTTTGCTAAAGTACTGTGTATCGATCTTTTTTTTAATAGAATATTTGTTTTCGCCTTTATTTTCACCTATTGTTGCTTCTCAGTGCTGTTGATTTCCAGCATCCTATTTGAAGTCACTTCTGGTCTACATGCATGCATTCCACTGCGTTCTGCAAGTCATTTCTCAGCGTCATCAACCCTAATGGTAAATCAGTGAAACATTTCTGTGTAATGTGTGTTGACTCCAATTCATCTAGTGAAAATGACACATTTCACTGAAACATCACAATTTTCCCCTGAAATTTCAGCAATGTGAAAACTCCTAATTTCGCTTATGCCATTACATGTAGACTGCAGCTGTTAGGGATCCGGGTATGACCAGAAATGTGTGGACTGACACAGGGAAGTAGCAGGCTTCAGGAACACCGGCGTAGTCAGGTCTGGAGAGGTGGAATGGTCAGGCGGGCGTAAGGTACTGTCAGGCACCGCCCGGCGGGATCTCTAGTGACCCACAGACCAGGATTCCCCAGGGCGCGGAGTCTAAGCCCCAGTCTGCCTTTTCACCAGAGCCCCTGATGGTGGGGATGGACTTGGCGCAGGACTGAGACCAGGTCGCGGCCCCTGAGTGCACCCAACTGTGGTAGAGGGGTCCGCCGAGGGTATGTATCGGGGGAAAGCCTGATGTGAAGGGGCTGGCAGGTTTGGACAGTAGTGACTGGATCCGTGCGGGATGGATGGATCGTCTGGGTAGCATCAGGCGTAGTCAGGCAGGCCAGGTCAGCAACGTGCGGGCAGTGAGGTACCGGAGGAGCAGGCAGAGAATAGTCAGGGTCACAAGCCGGGTTCAGTAACTCACGGGCAGCGCAGTACAGAGGATCAGGCAGAAGGATGGTCAGGCAAGCCAGGGGTTCAACAGGAGACGGTCAGCAGAGGTCAGGATCAAAGCAGGGTCAGCAACTAGGCAGATAAGCAGGAACACAGGATACCAGGTACAGGGGTTCTTGGGAAACATACACCAAGGCCCTGATCACAGGCCTGGTCATTCCTTAAATACACCTCCTGCAATCAGCCTCAGGTGTTGGCTGACTGCAGGAGTGAGTTTCTGGCTGCTGAGAGCACCCGCTGGTCAGCCCTGGTACTGCAGCCCACACGGCAGGTGAGTCCCACCACCAGTGCTGAGTCCATTCCTGACAGCAGCAGAGCCTAACTGATTCAGAGAGCTGGCCTTCTCTCTTCCAATTTTAGCACTGCTATACTGGGACCACAGGTATCTACACTGGGTGTACATAAAATAAATGTTATTATTTTGAATAATGCATAACTGCAATAATTGCTATGTTTTTACATATGCCTGGTGTTCAGCTTTAATGTCATTTTGGCTACAGTTCCACGCTCATAGAAATCTGCATTACAAGGACAGTACTACAATTTGAAATGAGCATTCATTTGTAGCTTCCTGGCAAAAACAGTTGATTAAAAAGTAGACTGAGTACATTATGTAAATCTGGTGTGAATTAGGCTAATATCTTATTTTGGGGTCACATTATCATTTTGGATCTAAATAGTTGTGATGGGTTTTGTATTTTTGAGGAATTCATCATCACTGTCTTGCGGTGAAAATAGTTTGAAATTTTTTTCAAATAGACAGAATATACACATAGGACACATAGCAAGTAATTGGAAGTGACAAGGACAAATCATACAGAGATTAATTATATACCATTTGGAAGAAGAAATAAAGCTATATGGCCATATATAGACAACATACATTTACCTATTAGACACTCTTCTTATCAGGGCAAACATTGACACAGAACATTTAGTACCCATGGCCACACGTATGGTCAATGTATTCACACATACAACAAATACACTGTTGCTTAAGACACAGTTAATTTTTTTCTCCAGTTTAGAGGACTTTTGAGATGAACCTATAAGAGTATTAACATATTCTTTAACATAATATATATCCTCTTTGCAATAACCTATTAAATAAACCAATAATGCAAAAGAAGTATATTTACTGGGACTATACTTTGATGTAGGGTAAGACATGATCAATCTTAACCCTGCAGCTGGCAGTATGAACAATGCAAATTAATTTCAGAAATACAATAAAATAAATGCATTCAGCACATACAATGCAAGTAGTGTGCCACAGCCTTGTAGAAATCAATGGCGTCCCCCCAGCTTTAGAAAAAACCTTCAGGTGTAGTGTATGTCATTTCCCTATACAAAGGCAAATATATTGTGATCCTAGTACAGCCTTTCTCAACCTTTTCAACACAGAGGAACCCTTAAAAAAGTGCATGGAACCTTTGCTAATAATTACTATATCTACTCTCACAGAACATTTGTGTGATGATCACTGAGATGAAGGCTCCTTACATTTGTGGTCATAGGGAAGAATCCCGACTTTATTTAAAAGATTATTGGTGTCAGTGGTTACTTATCTGAGATGCAGAAGTTACCCTTTGCTCAAGGAACCCCTAGAAAAGTTTGGAGGAACCCTAGGGTTTTAGGGAACCCTGGTTGAAAAAGGATGACTGAGTATGTAAGAGGCTTCACCGTACACTAGCTTTCTGTCTGAAAAGGATATAAGTCTGGCATACTGTATATCTCATAAAACATTTACAGGCATACCTCAGTTTACAAATGTAATTAGTTCTGTGAGACTTTTTGTATTGTGAAAAATTCGTAAACCGAAACGTGGTTTCCCATAGGAATGCATTGAAAACCAATTAATCTGTTCCGGAGGTCAGAAAAAAGTAAAAAAAAAAAGTATTTTATCTGTTCAAAACTCTTTATGAAGTGCACTTTAAAGGCATGCATACTGTACAGGGACATGATTAAAAATTAATTTGTAAATGCATTGAAAACCAATTAATCTTTCTTGTATCAGCCCGAAAGGGCTGCAGTTTATATGGGGGGGGGGGGGGGGGGGGTAATGGATGTATATTTTTCTGTACTGGTTTGTAACTTCTTTTTTTTCTTATGAAAAAATGAATAAACACTATTGAAAAGAAAACCAATTAATCTGTTCTGAGGTCAGAAAAACGTCAAAAATAGTTTTACCTGTTCAAAACTCTTTATAAAGTGCACTTTAAAAGCATAAAGGGATATGATTAAAAAAAAAATTGTAAATGCATTGAAAACCAATGAATCCATTCCGGAGGTCAGAAAAAAGTCAAAAAAAGTTTTATCTGTTCAAAACTCTTTATAAAGTGCACTTTAAAGGCATAGTGGGACATGATTAAAAACGAATCCGTAAATGCGTTGAAAACCAATTAATCCATTCTGGAGGTCAGAAAAAAGTCAAAAAAAGTTTTACCTGTTCAAAACTCTTTATAAAGTGCACTTTAAAGGGATAAAGGGATACGATTAAAAACAAATTCGTAAATGCATTGAAAACCAAGTAATCCATTCTGGAGGTCAGAAAAAAAGTCAAAAAAAGTTTTACCTGTTCAAAACTCTTTAAAAAGTGCACTTTACAGGCATAGTACTGTACAGGGACATGATTAAAAAAAAATTGTAAATGCATTGAAAACCAATTATTCCGTTCATATTGCAAAAAAATTTGTAAACCAAGACATTATTTTTTAAGGATTTTCATTCGTAAACCGAAAATTATATTAACTGAGGCGTTTGTAAGCCGAGTTACGCCTGTATTGGCAAATTTTCATTTTTGTTAGAAGAATAATCTGTAGCTGTTCCAGTTTCTAACCTAAAGTTATGGTCTTGAGTTCCGCCCCCCCCCAAAACAAAACAAACAAATACAGTAAAATCAGTCTGTATATGCAGTAAAGCATGCTTGTTATACTCACTGTGGAACCTAAGGGGTTAATCCTCTGCATTGTGTAAAAAGGATGTTTGATCCTAACTAATCTCCTGATAAGATATATCATGTGAAGACACTCTGCATATGCTCAGTTTGGTGTGTATTGCTAGAGAGGATTTTTTTCTTGGGAGAGTGTATGTGATCAGCACAGGGCCAATCAGCACTGTCCAGACAGAGGTCAGGGGTTCTGCATCCTCCTAGAGCAGAATTAAAACTCCTCCTACAAGCCTTAACCAGTGCTCTGCACTGATAGATAGAAGTCACAAGACTGCTCTAACTGCTGATGAGAAAAGGTATTTAGCAGTTTATATTTACTAA